GTCCTACGTATAAAAAATACGAGTACGCATATTATTATTATATTTTATATTATTATTATTATTATCTTCTATGACTGGGACCAGCATTGTCGTGTTATCAAACGATTTTATGCACAGTATACAGTCAGTGATGTATTGTTAAACAAATTCATGGGTGTATAATACATATTATACTATACAGCTTAGGTTACCTTTTCACTTTAGGTTGGCGATAGTAGTAATATGCTCGCGTTTTATATTATAGTAAAATAAAAAAACATTTCACTCGACATACATAATATTTTACCCAAGCCCTTATTATGCTAGTATATTATAGTATAGTAAACTATATTATTTTCATTTAATTAAAAAAAAAAAAAATGTACATTAATTCCATGTCATAAAATATATTAGAATCTTCTTTTAATCGACAATTTATCGACCCTAAATCTTGTTTACAAAAATAAGCGTAAATAGACTTAAATTATGGCCGTTTTGTTAAAATAATGACACATAATGTATGGGGTCTCCCGGTGACGACATCCACAGCTATCCGTGATACACCCAACTACTACCCTGCAAGTGTCCGATATACAAACAGACGCTGGCGCTCTTAAAATATTTGCGGTTGGTATTTATTATGTTATTGCAATTCATTATTTTATTGCAACCTCTCGGAGTATTTCAAAACAACGGCGACCGACCGTGTGCAGATATGGGTACCTATTTGCAAATAACTTACCGAAAAGGGTTGGGTCCTGGAAAACAGAGTGGTGGAGGTGTATTATACAAAGGTACGTGTGTGTGTGTACACTGTATTATGCAAACGTTCGGCGAAGCTTGTGTGGCAAAACACAATAAGCGGATTAGACCCTGTCCGTGAGCAATAGCAGTTGGGTGGAAGGTGCAGTGCATATATCGGAGGTAAAACGTCGTTTAAGTACAATTCTCAAAAACCTTTACGAAAGCGTATTTCATGTGCTAAATACATATTCGTATATTATAATATACACAGGGTGATTCTTTTATCCGTAAACAACCATTATCTTGGTAATTTTTTTTTTTACAATATCTCTGGTGCACGACTTTTTTTTTTACTATTTGTTTTCTTTTTAATTCATGATATCATACGTTTTTAATTTCATGTTCCTAAACCGAATATTTTTTCTGAGAATTTCGATGTTAATGCTTTTACATTTTGGATGAGTGGGGAAATTCACATGACCACAAAATGTTCGTACACTACTACACTCAACTGAAATGTAAATACTTATAAGTTACATAACCCTTACATACCTATAGTTAACACTAACGAATATAATTATACTAAAGATTATACTAATTATTAATACATCGAATTCTTCTCAAAAACAATGAATGCACATTAAAAAAATCACTCTCTATACACGTATACTTGTATGTTACCTACCAGTGCTATAATATCAAGGGATTATACATTTTTTTTATGATCTCCAGCATAAGGGATTTTTAAATTGTAAATTTTATTTTGCATTCTCTGGCACTTTTAACTTTTAAGTACCTTATTTTTTTTTAACTTTAGAGCATTTTTACAGTATTATTAAAGCTTGATAATTGTTTGGGATTTACATACATGAAAACATGGTTTTTTCAAAATATTTTTCCACGGTGGATTTCAAGCCTGACCCACTTTTGGAATTATCCATTTCGTTTAAATCTATTTTTATAATTAGTTTTAACTATAAAATAAACCAATTCCGGTTAAATTGTAATGTTTATATTTTTAAATGAAGATGTTTAATTTTTAGGTACTATTTCTTATGTAGTATGAAACATCAAATTATATAACAAAATATGTCTTTTTTTTACATTTTGTCTAGACATATTATTATAAGGTCATTCTTGTATTTGAATACATTTTAGGATATTTTATTTTTGGTTAATGAAATTGTTTTGGATTCCATAAACTCAGTCCTGTATTATAACTATATACTAATATACGTCCGATACCACTCGCAGACTAGCAGGTGACATAACATAATAATATGTAAGTAATAACATAGTAGAGTTCACAAAAGACCACAAAACAATTAGCCCAACTGTAGAAATCCAAAAACTACTCGGAAATATTTGTTCCTACGTTTATAATATTAGTCTCGTATGCACTAATGGACATTATAGATCTAGTGAAATATCGAAGGTTAACATGTCACAATATTATTGTCCTTGATAAACGACAAACAGTGGTTTATAATATTAACGTAATCCGTCTGTCCCTGAAAAATCTCTGCAGTTAAAAATAATAAAATTCCCTACGTTTTATCCGTGAATCGACTGGAGTTTTTTTTCTTCTTAAGTACAAGGTCTGGTATACCTACCCACTCGGTAACACGAGACGTATAATACTAAAATGTAGATATCTCAACGGGAGAAAAGAGTACTTCAGTTGCACCGCAAGTCCACTCAGTCGTTGTGTTTTTTTTTATGTATACATATATAATATATTTAAGGCGCCATATCGAGTTACAAAAAAATTTCGACTCGAGTACCTTATAAAGCTGGAATAAAAATATAAAGATCAATCAAATTTTAGTTATATAATATAATTTCTTTTTCACGAATCAATTTCGTAATAAATCAAAGAACACTAAAAATTAATTTTTTTAACGTTTTTTTTTTTTTTTTTATAGAACATTAATGATATCATGTGAATAATAATACTAGTCTAAAATTCACACAACTCAATGATTGACGAACAAATTATTTTAAAAAATCGTAATACAGGATTAATTCTCGTTGGTATTTGAACTATAATCTGTATAATTAACTTAAAAACTGGGTTCGTAAAATAAATTGTACCTTTTCAAAACTAATTGAAGAAAAATAAAATTGAGATTTTGACTATTTTAAAAATTAATTTATCAATAAGTGAACCCCGGCATCAAAATGAAATGTCTATATAACTCATTACACATCAAGATTAGGTATAATTAGTAAATAAACTTTGTTAAATGTTAAAAACTGACGACTGACCGATATTTCCAAAATAAAATATTATTATTTCCTCACTTTATTTCTTGATTTCTTGAGATAGGTACTGGAATCATCTATTGTTTATAATTTATAAAATCAACATGGTTCACTCAATACAACCATATATTATTATACATATACATGTATTTTAACATAATTAACTATTAAAATATAAACTGACGAATTATGTGCGTTTTACAATTATAAAATATGTAAAATATATTTTTTTGTAGTATATTAATTATATGTTGTAAGTAGACACCATTGTTTGAGTTCTGATATTTTAAATATATATATAGGTAGAATTTTAAATTACAGACTACCTATATTTTATTTGACAGTAGTTCAAGTGAATTTACAATGATGTGTGTTTTTTGTGACTGTGTACACGATAAGTAGTCAAAAAAATGTTTAAATCTAATATTTGAAAATATAATACAAAATTCCTCATTAGTTTTAACTTTTATCAAAAAAAAAAATGTCTACAAGAAAGTCAAATTAAATTTTTATGTGCGTTTGAAGTTCATATTTTTCAACATTCATGGATATTCACTCGATTCCTCATGTAGCGAGTTGCTTATTTTGTTGTAATTTAAAAATGAAGATATATGTACTGTAGATGCATGAAAACGTCACTGAATTTTTATATTCCCATTTTCTATACACCAAATATTGGATTGAGCTGTACACGGACAATTTAAAATTTCAATTTTTTTAGTTTTTTTTTCTATAAATATCAATACAATTTAATATAAAAATATTAACACAAGGCTCCTGATATATTGTTTCAATAGCAGTTTAAAAATAATAATAAAAATACAGCACAACTTTTTTTTATAAGCATTTAAAGTTCCATTTTTGACTACATTTATGAAATTTAAAATTTAGTAATTATTTTGTAGTTAAAAATGCATAAAATGTTAAACTTTTATAGGTAAGAATTGAAAATTTAAAACAAGGTTCCACTTAAGTAGGTCATATAATCTATATAATATATCTTCATTCACGATATTATCATCAAATATACTTCACATAAAAATGACAGGGTACTGAGTAACATAATATAATCAAATTTCTAAAAAAAAAAAAAATAGTCTTTGCAGGTTAACCAACTGGTTGTTTTTGAGGGTGTCACTCAAACGCTTTTGGTGCACAGACGATATACCAACAGCAGTCGTTGATTTCACGAACCGGTTCGCGAGACTTGCCGAACGGAAATGCGTTAAATCATCGTACGGAAATCCGGGCAATAGACGAGACGCTATATAGAGATGATGATGTACGCGTTTGCTCGGTTGCGTGTGTGAGCAGAGGAATAAAATATTATTATTATACGAATAATAAATTTCCCCGAAATCGTGTAAGACGGGTCGCCGGTAACACGAGAGGGGGACCGCCGGGGGTGCTACATGACCCTCCCCTTACCACCGCCACTTCACAACAACCATCACCCCCCCAGTGTGACGGGTTGGTTCGGCCGGCGGGTGTGCAGGCGGTGGATCGATTCCCTCCGCTTTTCCGCACCGACACGCACAGTAAAGACGGCGGCGGCGGCGGCGGCGGCGGCGGCGGCTAGCGAATCGCGCCTGCCTCCCACTATATGCTCAACAACAACCCTACGCGTAACTGCCGCCACCGCCGCCGCCGAACAGCTGATCAGCCGGAAAACTCGTGACCAAACCGGAGGAGTTTGTTCGCGCACACCACCAGTGTAGTCCGTCCGGCGGTTTACACCGGTCAGAGCGTCTTCCGTCGCCGCCGCCGCGTTACTGATTTACACCTACCATAATATATATATATATTGTAATAAGCGTGATCACAAGCACACACATACTGTATACAATATATTATATTATAGACACAAGCTACTTCCGACTATTATAGTTTTCGATTTTTTTTTTTTTTTTTTTATCGTTTTTCGATATTTATTTGTGCTATCGCTTTATTCTCTTCAGCCACCGTGGCTTACCTTCCGTCGGCTTTTAGACCCGGCGCCTTTTGCTGCCGCTTTAACCGAAGCGTGAACTCCTAATCGTCGACGCTTCAGACATGAGCCGTCCGTCTCGGTCCGTTTTACCACCGCTGCCGCCGTCGTTGTCGTCTTGGTCACCGTCGCCAAAGTCGATGTTACCGCGGTCGCGGTCATCGTCGAACATCCTGCACCGGTCGCAGGTCTCGGCCCACCACCAAATCCGGTGCAGCTGCAAGTCTATCGCCGTCGTATGTCGGTCATGTTCATCAGACATCTGTTGAGAGGTACAACCCCATCATACACCATACCCGTGACCCGACATAGTCCCGATATCAATTTACTATAACGTATACCTACAGACATTTTTTAAAAATAATATTAATAGTTAACGTTACCGTGAATAAAAATAACTCTGTCTTGTACATACGCGTTTCCACATTTTATAACGACGAATCGTGGTTCAAATGACACTATATCCACTACCATTATATGATGCGTAGGTAATGTTTATAACAGTAATATTTAATTCAATGTCAATACGAAATGGGGGAAATGGCCGTAAACAAACTTTGTGACCATTGTTTTCATTTGGTTTCTGTAAACTGCTCCAGAGTGATGATAAAACGACTATACAAACGGGTCGAGTGCCAGAAACTAAACATGTTTGCTATCTATATACACTAACGAGCGTAGTGGAATCGGTGAGCCAGCGGACCACCGAGCGCCGCCGTGTGTAAAACACGATTATTAAGCAATCTTGTCGCAACCCTACTCTGTTACTGTAAACAACTTAAGACTAAAAGAGATTGTCTTCTTGTCACAACACCAAGTCTACTTACGTTTACTATCGTGGTATAGCCTATCAATATTATGATTCATCGTAACGAAATATTTTTTTAAAAGGTGATTCGTATAACTATTTAACCGCAACCACTTATTAATTAGATAATTTATTTTTTAATTCAACTCGGTGGTGAGTGAAGTACTACAAAGTAAAAGTTCTATTCAAATATAATAATATTATTTGTGTCAAAATATCTGTTTTTAACATTAGTTTAAATATTTTCTTAAAAACAAACAGTATCCACATTCTTCTTCCTTGCTTTTCCTGTAATTTCATTAGTCAACAAAACAAATTCGAGAAAGTAAAAAACAAATGGAATGCTACATCATTTTATTTTTTTTTTTTCGGGTAGTTATTAATTTGACACTGAATAATAATACAAAATGTTAATAATTGTGTTTATGGAATAAATATTTAATCAAATACTGTTTGTTTAACTTCCACAAACTCTACCGCCTCTAACTTGTTATTATTTTCCATTAGTTTCATCTTCTATTTGAAATGAACAACAAAATCCCTGAGGGATAGATCTAGACTCTCTTATTTCTTTCCATCGCTCTTAATTTTAACTTTGGGTTTGTAATCATGTATACTTTCTTATAGATAATATTGTGACATCGATACGTGTGTTGATTGTTTTTTTCCTTCTAATAAAGAAAAAATACAGTTTAATATGATATTATTAAAGCTTGTTAGAATTCCATCTTTAAAGCAAACAATTATTGGTCTAGTTTAAGTTGTACAGCATGAGCTTTTATATTTGTATGAGTTATTCCTTTGAATATTCCTCAAAGAGAGGGAATGTACCACAACGATCATTTTTAGTTTTTTATACCTTATAATAATAGGTTAAATCTTTATTAAAGTTTGAACAAGTTAATTTTCCATACGTATACGTATTTTAACTTTACTTTAAAACCACACGTGAATTATGTATGTTTTAATTTAGTTTACTGTTGTTTACACTTTACCTGTAACGTCATATTTAAATTGTATCAAACCAGATAAAATTATTCTTTGAAAGATTGCTTTTTTGAATTTAAAAAACACATGTTTTCTGTTAACATCATTAATTTAGGGGAATCTTTATTTCGATTAATTCGAACCAAAATATACATTATAATTGTTTGTTATTGATTGAAATCAAAATTTAAAATCTAATTTATATCTTTACACAATAACACATGACTGTTTATAATTGGTTTATCCTTAATGGATAATATTTTAGTAGATATATGCAGTATGCATTATATTATATTTCATTTTTAACAATGAATCAATAATTGTGTAATTATTTACTATTTTATTTATAAAATCTGTCAGCTTGTCGTATATTGTTTTCAGCACGTACAGATGCTCTATATAAATTTTTTTTTTTAAGGTCACTATCCGTTAAATAAAGCTCACTTCGGTTTGCAAATTCGTTAGTCACGTAACAATACATTGTCGTCGTTATTACACTACACGAATAAAATTAGTTTTATAAGTATGATTATTGAGTGATATATATTTTTTTATAATAAATAATTGAATGCTAAAACTTAGTTTTGAATAATTTTCATTTAATGGCAAGCGTTTTTTTTTTTTAATTGTAAATTCATGTTCAACACGAAATAATAATTAAAATAATTAAAATTAATAAATTAATAGAAATATTGTAAGGAATTAGTGTTTCCATAGAGTAAATGGTACTTTGTGCTTTTTGTAGCTTAACATTTTTGTAACATAACACTATGTAAACCATTACATATTATAATATTATTTTATGATACGATATCTAAAGTTTGTTAAATAAAAACAGCATAATATTATTATTTTGTCTTTAAAACCTTATGTTTTTCTGTATAAAAGCACAAACTTATATAAATATAAACTTTTGTAAATATTATTACGTATTGGCCTGCAGAAATCGGCTCATATTTTGTCATGTGTAAAAATTATTTTAACGGCCAGAGAAATATTATGCTCAAAAGTAAACTTTAAATTACTTTCCCAGTTAAAAAAAAAAACATCACTATATTATTATATCGTATAGAACAAATATCTAAGATATAAAACAACTAACTATTTATTAATAGTGAGATGTATACGGAGATTGGCGAAATTCACATTTTAAGTTTACCCAGAAAGATTTATTTAGATTATTCAAAATATAAATTATATAGATAATAACCTGTGTAAAGTAAAAAAAGAATGGACTCGTAGGTAAATATCATCATTTATTGCACATAATATTATCAATTATAATAGTACTATTATATTGTTATATGTTTACTGTGTATTTCTGCTAAAATTAAAAACAAATTTCTTATTGCTTACAACGTATCGAATTCAAATATATAGGTATTTAAATTAAATCATTTCTTGGGGCACTGCTGAGTGCTTGGAGCCTTCCTACTTTACAATGAATGTTCCTATGTCAAATGTTATTTTATATCACCACACTTAGTCATTATACCTGTATTATAGATTGTAAATATATTTTTAAATAATAAATAAAAAAGGTATATAAATTTAAGTAACGAATATACAATATACCATTATACAATCGATCAAGTTAATAGTTAAATGTTTTAAAAATAACACTGTACAGATGAATAACGTTACTGTAAAACTATTAGTCGTCTTTTGAATAAAATAGTTTTAATTTTTTATTCGCGCAAACAACAAACGCTATTATAATTTGTATCCACCTTTTTCTGCTAAATGTTCATAAAAATGTTACGCATATTTTGTTTGAAATATTAAAATGCATTTAAAAATGGATATTCTAGTCATATTTTCGTGAAAACATTTTTACTGTAGTAATTAAAGAGTACATTTTTAAGTAACTATTTCGTAGTTGAATGACAGTTACTGCGTCCTTAATGCAGTTATATTTTTTTTCACGTTACAAATAATTGCTGTCACAAAATACATTATGATCAATGATTTATCATATCAAACAAATCGGTGACGTAAACAAAAATGTTGTATAGTTGGAGATAATAATATTATAATTATCATTTTTTCAAAAATCATTAAAAAAAAAACTTTCAATTTTATTAGAAATGTGTATGTTATATACAGTTGTACAAAGATGTTAGTTGTATGAGAGGTTAGATTGTTAGATTTTAGTGTCTAGAAATTAACTGTGGCGTTCATTATTGAAAATATAAAACCCAAATACAAAACTAGGTTTTCTAGCAGATCATGGATCACGTGATTGATAATAATATTGTGATTTCTAACACGTTTGTTGGGTTTGAACCAAAGGAAAAATCTAACATAAACGTCATATTGAATGCTTCAGTATTTAACATGGTGGCAATGGTTCATAAATCACATAGTATCATATAGTGTACGGTATTAACATATTATGTATAAACATTCTATTAAACGATAAACAACGACATATATAATTCGGAACGTTTTAAGAGGACACCACACATCCCACATATTATGTTGTGTTGTCTCCATCTCACAAAAGCACAACATAATAATATAACAGATGGGTGTTCAGCAGTTCCATTGTTTAACGGTAGGAATTAATATTAGAGTGAAATCGCCTATTATCAAACTTAGAGGTAAAGACATTATCAGTGGTTGCTAGTGGGATTCTTAAGAAATTTGTCTTTTTAATCAAGTTATAAGTATGTGAAATATTACAATTTAAAAATGCTCATAACTTGATTGGAAAAACTGTTTTTTGATCGAAAAAGAAACTTAAATATAAAAAAAATATCGTAAAAAAACTCCGGGAAAAACAAGGTTGCTAATGCTCAGCTTATACCTTCGAGTCGAATGTGTGGTCGACGAACACCGTTGTTAAATCTCACTGTACTCGGAATTTTCACTGATGAATACGAATTTGCCGTGTTTGCGGCAGTGGGACAACGTGTCATGCGGGCGTGGGGCGTGCTCTCAAAGCACGAGGAGGCGTTGTCACTAGGCTGTGTGCATGATTTACCATCTCGTTTTCCGATTTCGTTCCGGTGTCATCCGAGCGTGGCACAACAATACAGTACAATGAAAATGACATAACCGTCTTTGCTAAACTGTGTGCAAGGAGTTATACGACGGTGTCATGCTTTGAGGGCCGAAGTTTTCTCATTTCGCCGGAAATGCGTCATACACAATGCCACACAGGTATATACCGTAATAATAAAATACGCGCGGGAAACGCTAGCGGCGCCGGTGCGTCGTTTACAGGTGTGTAAAAGGTTATAATATATACCTTATACCTACCGAAAGCTGACCCGATTGTCCATCCGTCCTTCAAGGAAGCGTGTTGATTTCTAGAGACAACTATTGCAGTGTGAGTAGGTAGTCGAACGGATTACAGCAGCGGCGTGCACGTGTACGTGTTACAGGACAACGATATTGTAGAAAGAGAAAGAGAAAAGTACCAAATGTCAGATCACCTAGCAGAAATACTTAACCCAGAGCCCATCAACATCCTCAAACTCATTCAGTTCCTTGCAGAAACCCAACTACTGAAGAAAATATAAAATATACAATATGTCATTATATAATATATCTTGTTAACTCTTTCTCTCTGTTTATATCTATCTCTAATGCGCAAATGTAATTGTAAACTATAATTTTTTTTTCAAATGTATCTAATACGTCCAATGGCCTCCGATGCCGCGGACTGTTTTGTCTAATAAAAAAAAAAGATATTTTCGTAGGACGTACCGATATCTTGTGTACAAGTGTACAACACACGGATGTATTATCACACACTTGTCGATTCTCATTTCCAAGAGTCTCCCGCAGCCGTTTCGGCAGCAATTGATACGGAGATCACGCACAGAGTGCATAATCTACAGTTTCTGGTAAACTGTATACATTAGGGAGGGGGAAACGCGTAACAAGTGCGGAATAAAATATATTATTATAATACATTGTGATGTAGCGTCGTCGAATGCTACTATACGAGAGTTTGTCGGTCGAAGGAAAATATTAAACATAAAATATAACATACCACTGATGGGATTGCGTGGTTATAGTTACAGTATTCACCTCCGCGGTGTCAACACGGAACGGTGGTCGAAAACACATGAGGTATTGGTGCCCGGGAACGAATCACCGAATGATATATAAACGGCAGGAGAAAGGGTAAACATTATATGGACACCTCCGGATCGTAATTGTTTTCACACGTGTGCACACGACGACTTAGTGTTGATTTATTGTTGCCATTTATTATTATTATTATTATTATTGATACACGACCTGCAGAGTATGTACACACAATTCATAGCCGTTAGATATCTCAATAATTCACCAATTCATAGAAAACTCTAGAACGTCGTCGTCACGACCTTGTTGCTGAACGCACATCATAGGCAAGCCGAAACGACACTTGACTGCGAGTTTCACAGAAGCAGAGATAAAGTTATATTATTATAATAATATACTGCGTTTCTAATTATTATGCTTAAAGGACATAACATAGTTGTTCATAATGCTAACGTAAAATTATTACACCGAATGAAAACAACTGTATTATGGTTCTTTTTTTTTTTTTTTTAAACGACTTCGGCTCTATACTGCATTATTATTATTATTATATATACAGTTGCAAAAGTTCCACCCGATAATGGACTCTGAGCAGCGTTTACCGGGTTGGTTGCTTTCGCATTAAGCGCATGTCATAAAAAGTTTTGCCGATATTATATGCTTACACCGTGCTACCCGCGAAAACTTTGCTCGATAACTTCCGGACGCCCACCTGCCGCCCACACACGAGTATATATATATTATTATTTTATGATATACGCACCAAAGCCGTCCGTCTGCGCAGACAAACTCAATTTCGAATGCATTCCATTTAGGCGAATCGGTAATATCGTCTAATAATAATAATATATAGGGAAGTTCCACTATATGCGATCGTTTATGCTCAGCGCGTTCGGCTCTCCGGACGGTACCAACCAAATCGGGTCAACGAACAATTTGCTCGGGTGACATTATTGCGGGGACGGCGAAGTATGGATGTCTGATTTAATTGTTTGCGTCGACAAAATTAATATCCGGACATAGTTATTAGAAGCGTCGGAGGTCCTTTGTCAGGAACATGCGCACCTTGCACAGCCGGCAGTCATTTACAAGCTATACTTTGTGCAGATAATTGATATTAAATAAATAATATAAAATTTAACTGCACAATTTAATTGTGAATTTATTGAGTTTGCCCCCGCATTCAAATTGATTATGAAATGTCTATAACGATACCACCGTAATGGTTTGTATATATTAAATATATATTTTGTTTACTTTTGAGGAAAATCAAATCAGTTGATGGATTACTTGATAAAATGTGATTTTTGGTATAGATTTCTGACTCCATATATCATCGTTATAAAATTATTTTTGTTCTTTGTCATCACTATATAACACTAAAAAAGTTTTAAACTAATAAAAACATGTAAAAATAATAGTATCTAAAAATTTTCCGTAAAATCACTTGTAACATAATTATACACTATAATAAGATGTTTGAAAAAAAAATGAATACTTACTGATCTAAATCTATTACATGGTTTATAAAACACATTTTTTTTGAATTTTACATGGAATAATATTTTTTATAATTTAAACGTTGCAGTTTTGTTCAAATGTTGGGAGACATATTATTTTCTACGAATAATAATTTCTCTTTAATCTCGGTATCGAAACAAGCGTTATTAAACTAACACATAATATGTAAAGGGAGCCTCGATTCTATTGTATAAGAATGGGTTTTTGTGGCAGACATCCTCGTGATTCGAAAGTACACAATACGTCAAGAATTGTGTATTATGTCATTAAAATTGGTCAGCGAAATCGTAGATGTATACCTACTATAAAAAAATAAACTATACATTTTTTTTTATAATGGGCGAATAACCGTAAGGGCCCAGACTAAGATTCACCTACAAGCTACAGAGAAATCAGCTTAGTATTGATACATTTAGGAACTCTTAAACAACAAACCGTCAAATACCAGTCCTGCAGGGACACGAGAAAAATACATTTAGAGGATACGAAATAATAAAATGATTACAGTAACAATAATAATATAGATACGTACTTGGAGAAAAACGAGTGCGGCGTGAGAAGCGAACATACCTTTCACTGACGTGGTGGTGGTGATGGTGTGTGGTGGAAGCAAAAGACGAGTCATATAAAGACTTAAAGTTATAAACACTATGTGGATTGTCATCGAAAACACAATATAACCGCTACATTGGACGTATAGCCTATATATTATAACGATTGTGTATCAAATAAATATATAGACAGGTGTGTGCATAGGGGGTTGATTAGAGGTCCAACTCGCTCCTCCCCGAAATGTCAGGATAATTATTGAATATGTTTTTATAGAGTAAAATTGGGAACATATATAACCCTTCCCCTCACACCCATCAAAATATTTTCATGTGTAAGCTCCTGTATATCGGTAGTTGGGTACGAGTGCATATTATTGTATAGTCGTCCGAAACCAGGACCGAATGAGTGAAAAATCGGAAAATGACAGAGGAGCTACAGGGGCAGTTGTGTCAACGACGAGGGTCCAGGAAAATGGTCCCCGAGGAAGAATCTTATTTTGCTCTGAAATCTCAGATGGTAGCCCAGCGAGTAGAATACGGCCGAGAAAATCTGTCAGTCCGAGTGTGCAGCACTAGCGCATATTATACGAATCGTACACCTATAAATTATATACTTGCGCATACGTATATATAATATATTATAATATGAAGTCCTTGTGGACGACAGTCGGTGTAAAAAAAAAAAAAACGCTATCCGTTCGACGGCAATGTCACAGAAATAGATAAATGCGTTGAATAATGTATTTAGAGCCTGACATCACGACGACGCGATCGCTTCTTGGTTTTCTACAACTGGAGAGAAGTTTTCTACCGTTGCCTTATTATTACATAGTTATCACCATATTTAATTTTGCTTAAACCTGCTGTGCAGTGTTTCAGATCCAACAGCACAAGCAATGTGCATTTAAAATGTATATAAATAAGACAAATGTTATTAACTTTTCAACATTTGCTTTTATATAATTATGTTCTATATATTTCTCCCGATAGCCACGATGTCGAGGGTTATCTTTGATAAAAAAAAAAAAATACTATACAAATATACATGTAATAGTATAGAGTTTTACCATATTATTATCAAAGACTTTGAATATTATCTTTTGGCTCTACTGCCCAGATTACAACACTGTGCTTTATAATTTCGGGCCGATTTTTCTGTCGAATCTATACCCGTATTATGTATCAAGGCCACCGTGTGCATAATAATATTGATAAAAGCATTCGATCCACCGCGTGATTTTCCACCACTCGTTCCCCCCAGAGACTTGTGTCAGATCTCCGTCAATTTTCGTGAACATTATCTACATTTATGTCCCTGAGGCTGTAGAGTTTATGAAATAACTCCTGTCAGTATAAGCCACTGACCACTCGCTCGCACTATCTAGACGTCGTGTGTAAACTAGTGAAACGAAGATTGTGTACAATGAAACATAACCAGAAATAATATCGCTGTACACAGGAACGGATCTTAACTTTTTAACACCCGGGTAAAATTTAAAAAATAGGCCCATTACCAGATTACCAGAATTAGTATATTTTTTACGAAAAATCAATCACACTCACACAGTGTAATTTGAGGACCAACATTTACAAAACCTTTTGCAATATACTGGACCGATAATTTATTCACCACAAATAATTTAAACGATTTTAGCTAAAAAATGAAACATTTTAAATTTAAAACTAATCAAGTAATAGTTTAAGAAGCACTTCTTAATAGTGTATTTAAAGCTAAGAACCACAGCTGTGATCAATATTTCTAAGTTACAGGTTTAGAATAAATAATATTGATAATAATAACATGTATGAATTATTTATTAGCAAATCTAAACTAGTTATCCATTCCTTACTTTTAATAGGTACAAAAAGCTTTATGCAAAAGAAAAATATTTAATTTACAACATAACAATGTTATAAATTTTTCATTTTTAATATTTGTTATAATCT